AGTGGCTTCTTTTGATTATGATAGTCGTGGATTATTTACCCTACATCGGAGGTGTGGGTTCCATATTAGGGTGGTGCGTGTCAGGTTTTGATGGAGGAGGCTACAAGTCGAGGTTCTTTATTCATCCTGGAGCGACAAATATGTATAAAGATCTCCAGCTAGACTACTGGTGGCCATGCATGAAGCGGGATGTGGTCTGGCATGTGAAGAGGTGCTTGACTTGCAAGAAAGTCAAGTTCGAGCATCAGCAACCCCACGACAAAATGGAGCCGTTGGATATTCCCGTATGGAAATGAGAAGAGATTACGATGGACTTTATCACCAAACTACCTTAGACGGCGTGCATATTGGATATCGATCATTGTGAATCGATTGACCAAGAGCACGCACTTTATCCCGATTCAGGAGAGTATCTCTGCGGAGAAGTTGGCAGACATCTACATTTGGGAGGTTGTAGCACAGCATGGGGTTCCAGTTTCACTTGTTTCAGATCGGGACGTTCGGTTTACTTACAGGTTCTGGAAGAGATCCCATGAGGAGTCGGTTACTCGTCTTCATTTCACCCACATAATGATGGTTAGAGTGAGCGGACTATCCAGACATTGGAGGACATGCTACGAGCATATGTACTGGACTTTGGCGGAAGTTGTGATACATATCTTTCGTTGGAGGAGTTTTCGTATAACAACGGTTATCACGCCAACATTGATCGACCTTCTTTTGAGCTTTTATATGGGAGGAAGTGTAGGACCCCAATATGTTGGGACGAGGTCGGTCAGTGGGTTATGGGGAGTACGGAGGTAGTACTCCGGATGACTGAGATGATTCAGCAAGTTCGTGGTAGACTTCAAACAACATAGAGCCGACAGAAGAGCAACAAAATAGATGTCGATCGGACTTAGAGTTCCAGGTTGGGAACATGGTACTCCTGAAGGTGTCACCTTGGAAGGGTGTCATCCGATTCAGGAAACAGGGTAAGTTAGGTCCCCGATATATTGGTCTATTTAGGATGATAGCCTGAGTGGGAAGCGTCGCGAGATCCATAACACTTTCCACGTCTCTCAGCTGCGGAAATGTTTGGTTGATGATTTCGCAGTGGTACTGTTGGAGGATATTCAGGTGGACGGTCATCTGAATTATATAGAGTGGCCAGTGGCTATTCTCGACAGGAAGACGAAGACCCTGTGAAATAAGGTTGTGGAATTGGTAAAGGTGCAGTGGAAGCATAGAAAGGGGTCAGAATGAACATGGGAGCCTGAGGAGGAAATGCAAGAGCGTTACCCCGAGTTGTTTGCAGAGACGATCTCTTAAAAGAGAACTTCTCGATGGTTTGGACAAATGAGTCATCCCCCTATTTATAGGAAACTTACAGCTCCTTAAATGAAACTTGTAGGTTCCGTACATTCCCAAGTATTCTAGATCGTTCTTACAAGATCTTTATTTAAATACAAAGTTCTATAAGATTCTATGTTATACTTTTGTGTCCTAGAGAATTCTCGGACGTTCTAGGGTCTTTTGGATCATTGTTACTAGTTCCACTGTCTTCTTGATCGACCCGGAAAATTCTGGAATACTGTCTTGTGACATGGGGCTTTGATACTTATTCGTGGTTTAAAATCAATCTTGGTTCTCCTAGCTCAACAGCCTATTTGGCGAGTCACCCTGATTTTTCGTTTTTCTTTGCACCTGCCTTATTGGGGCATTAGTTAATACCTAAATTAGATGTCGATTGAAGCCATGAACAAAATTGCAAGAGTTCCTTGTTCAGAGGACATTAACTTATCATTGTGTCTTCTAGGGTTTTTATGGGCATCTTTATATTCCTTGGTACAAGGGTTTACCTGGTAGCTTGCGTGACCCGGGTGAAGACAACTAGGTTGTGTGTAGCTTTATATTTTACTATTATCGGGATTTTGTACTTGTGTGTGACTTTTGGGATATGTTTTATTTTCCATCTTTTGCTCATCGTGTATTGGTGTTGCCTTGTGGGTCGATTACTTTGGACAACTACACTTTGTCGTTTATAAACTGATCTGCTGTGGTCGGGTCGCTGTTGGTCTGGTGAGCCAACCAACTGTGCTTTGTCATTTATATATCGATCTGGTGTGGTCGGGTTGATGGTGGTCTGGTGGGCCGGTCAAGGACACCATTAGTCTGCTACTAAAGGAAGGTTCAATGGCTAAGATCTACATACCCTACAAGTGGTTCAATTGGTGCATTTTATCTAGGTAACTTGAAAATAATTGATCACTTTTCATTTATAGGGAAATTTTTGGAATAATGGGTTTATCCATTTTTCAAAAATATTTTTTTAACACAAATTCAAAACCGGATATATTATAAAAATAGATAAGTGGTTTTACATGTGTGTTCACTTGTGTGATACCTTTGTCTTGATATATTAAATGTCTAAAACATGCATATGCCGAATGAAATATTAATCATTAAAGTGTGGTAGTTGGATAAAGAGGTTTATTAGGTTTATGTCATCCAACATAGGTGGAAGAATGAAAAAGAAGTGAGTATATACGCCTATAAAGAGTGGTTCACTGCATCCTTACTCAAAAAGTACGACACCTTATTGCCACGTCTAGTCCACTACATCTTTACCCAACTTTAGAAATACTCATCACTCCACAACACTACTTATATATAAATAAAATAAATAAATTTTAAGAAAAAAGAAAAAAATAAAGAGAGAGAGAGAGAGAGAGAGAGAGAGAGAGAGATTGTGGAGCTCCATAGCTCAGCTCACCACAAGGTTATTACTCTTGTGGATGGATAGTGTGTCATTATGAGATGATATTGCCGTATAAGTCACAAAAGTTATTACTCCTTATATCCTAAGTACAAATGTTTCTTAGCATTTTAAACTTATTGCACCAAATCTCTTTGTTATGCACGCAAAGGGGTGAAAAGCGGAACCGAAATGACTTTCAATTCACTAACGTGTGTAACAAAAATTATTGAAATTTTAGCTGTTAAACACGTAATTAAAAGCAATATTTTGTTTTTATCTAGTGGTTAATGTTTGTTATTAATTTATGTCACTTACATACCTATGTCTACAATGTCAACTGGTTTTTGTTGTATAAATACAAACCCTATGAAACACATTTAGATAGAAGAAATGCAATTGAAAACTCTCATCATCTACTTCTATTTTTGCATTTTCCTACTACACTCAAGGTAATATCATGACTTGATTAGGTTCGACAGTTTCGAATATCATTTATAGCTATTGTATACTAGGAAATAAACATCTTATTGCAGACATTGTTTGAATGGCACTGTATATAACATATGCCTCAACATTTCCATTGTTTTTGTTCCTCTTTTGTATTTATTGAAATATATTACCTAAAGTTTAAACATCTAATTATAATTGTATCCTTCCGGACATGTCAATTATTTTGGTTATAACACATTCACTTCATAAGGCACACAAAATAAACATAAATTTTTAGTGTATAAATGATGTACTAAAATACCAACATGAGTAAAGATGGATAGGTAATCAAAACAAACAAAAAATACAAAATTTTATTCAAGTTTTGTGGCCAATCCATCACAAATTGTTATAAAACAACAAAAAAAAGTGAGTCTTCATATTAATTTTTTAAGTTCTGTCACTCAATGACTTTAAAGTTGAAGTTTTAAACATGTGAAAATAACAACAAAACTAACGAAAAACCTTTTAATACCAAAAACACATTATTTTGTGTATGAATTATCCCAAAAAGACATTATTTTTGTTTATAAATTAACACCAGATTTTAAACGAAATTAAATTATATTGTAATCTCACTACTAGAAAACAACCCTTTAATGACGCACAAACAATGACACGCGCTGATAGAGGACACGCATTTGTGCGTGCCCTAAAATATAATGTCAGTTTTGCAAAATTTGAAGGATAGAGGACACGCATTTTTGCGTGCCCTAAAATTAATGTCCAAAAAATATATATACAAACACAGAAGGCGCTTATCTTAAATGTGTGTCATCTACAAGTGTCGCTTTATAATTTTTTACTGGAACGCGCGTTTTTAAAGGGGGGGAAATGAAATCCTCTCAAATTCTAAAATTTTGAACTACCCCGCTTCTGCACTCTCTTCCCTATATCTCCCTTCCTTCTCCATGTAAACTCTAAGCCATCGCCACCACCATTGAACCCTAAAAACTCAATCCACACTTCACGCCTTTTGTGATTCTCTCCTCTTCGGATCTCTAATCTACGATTTCAGTCTGAAAACATCTATCGACCTCCTTGCTTCAATTAGAAACCCAAAAAATTAGAAAATGCCACATTGTTGAGTGTGTTGGCGCCGGTGCTCTGGTGTACCTTGTCACCGATTTATAATTTTTCTGACCCTTTAATTTTAGCAAACCCACTGGAACCCTAAGTCTTTCCTTTTACGCTTTCACATCTTTCCTTCCCTAATTGCCTGTATTTAATTCACTATTTGGGCATTTTGGTAAGAGTGTAACGATTTCACTATGCCCATGGCAAGTCTCGCAATTCCACCATGGAAGCAGCCTCTCGCTCGTTAGCTTCTAACGATTGCAGTACCAGATTCACTGCCGGTCGCCATTCCTTTCCGATCATTGTTAGGGTTAAGTGACGGAATGGTGTGACTTGTGTTGTCGCAACTGAACCGAAGCCCAAGGCAGCCAATCCTAGAACGTCAAGAATCGTCGATGGATCTTCAATGAACAACACTTCCACCGTACATTAATATTTTTCTCTTGCTTTCAATTCTTACATGTAAGTTAATAGTTATGTCTTCTGTTTGTGAAGAAATATTCATGTTCGATTTTGAATTGTTATTGTCTGTAGAGAATGGAGACAGTTTCACAAGAGCTTAAAAGAGTTAGGGCACAGATGGAAGAGAATGAGCAATTGGCGATCTGAGCACTCTTCCCTATATTTACATAAATACATTCTTTATTACATTCTCTCACATGATTTCCTACTTCAAACCCAAAACTTTCAGCTAATGGATCTACTTTTCTCATTCCTGGAGCCAACCCGTTCCCATAGTGCTTTGTTGGCTGGTTACTTCAGCAAGGTATGCTCTTTAAAGTTAGGTGCTTTTTTCATTGAATATAAGTATTATCATTTATTGTAAGATCAATTGGAGAAAGGGCATTTTGGGTAACTATTATATATGTTCTGCTGTGTTATAGGTTGTGATATGCCTCATGTTGCAGAAGACAGTTCCACTTATGAATTATGTTCAAGTGAGTAAACTTATCTATACATGTTGGTGTAGTTTAATTTCTATTTTGTTTAATACTCTACTTGAATATTACAGCTTCTATTTTCATTCTTGAATATAATTTTCTATATGTCAACCATGTGCTCTTTTTTCTTATCCAATTGGTTTAAATTTTTAATGGCATTACAAAGGCAAATTTATGTAGAAGTTGTGTAACATTCATCAAGTTTTTGGACTCAATTTGATTTGGTGGGGATCTGTATGCTTCTGTTGACCTTTTTTAATTTCATGCAGGCTGTTTTTATGATCTGTGTTATTGCTTCTATTGATTCCTCCCAGAGGTACTGTTCTTTTAATCTTGTACTTATTTGCTAACCAGCCAAAGCTTATATACTTACTGTAGTCATTTTACTGTAGGGAACTGGTTGATGTTGTACTTGACAACCTATCTAAAAAACTACAATAGAATTCCAGATCAGAGGTTTTTTTTACTTTTCAGTTTATCTTTAATCCTTATCTCACTAGCTTATATTACAGATTCATATTATGTCTCATTCAGGGACAAAACTGAGCTATGTAGACTTGTTTTTTTTAATAAATGGAATTAGCTGTTTTATGAGGTTATTATGCATCAAGGTGATTGAATTTAGTAATGATTTTTTTGCAGTACATTGGAGAGGTTATTATGCATCAAGGTGATTGAATTTAGTAACTGATCATCTTTTTGTGTGACATGGTTACGTTGTGTATATTATTTTCTAGCAAATTTCTACATAGTGTTAGGATTATGTTTGCATTTCGAAAAAAAATTAACCAACAAAAAGAGTCTTGATATCAACCAAGTTCTTGGATGAAGAAACCTTATTGTAGTTGTGTAACAATCATCAACTTTTTCGACCGACCTTTCTTTGGTGAGGATTTGTATGCTTCTATTGAGCTTTTTAATTTCATGCAGGATGTTTTTATGATCTGTGTTATTGCTGCTATTGATTCCTCCCAGAGGTACTATTCTTGTAGCTATATGTTGACCAACCAAAGCCTATATACTTTTATTCAACATGTCAACATGCAAATACATATTATTGCAATTGCTTTTCTTATTGTGCAGAAGAATAAATGAGACTTCTTTGTGTTTCTATTCTTGGGAACTCTAACTTCAGTGATAAGTGTAGTGGTTGCAATTCATAGTATGTCCCTATTCTAAACCAATAACTCTGATACCTGTCTTTTTTTCTTATTATTAAATATCTATATCCCATAAAATGATAGGAATGTGGACATCAATACCTCCATTACAAAATGAAGAATCTGGGATTCATCATGTCATTTTTAAACAACCTAGTGCTGCCACCTTGCTTTTTTTTTCTTTATCTTACTTGCTGTTGGAACTTTGATCGTGATACAAGCCTACCAGGTAATATTCCTATTATACCCTTGAGTAAAACCAAATCGTGAGATTCTGTTAAAGGGTATTATAGTTAATACACTTTGTAACATTGGGTCAATGTTAAAAAACAGTTTTCAAGAGAAAGCATGGAGCTTTTTATAATCTTGAACACTGAAGGGATGTTATCTGAATGCAGATTAGTCGAAACATCACAGGGATTTGTAGTAATTTGTTGATTACTGTTTTCAGGTTGAGGCTCTTGATTTAGGAAAAAGCGTTCTTGATACAGTAGCATAAGTTGTAGAAGATTGGAAACTTGATTGTAATGAACTTCTCACTTTCTGTTGTAAATTGTAAATTGTAATGAACTTCTCACTTTCTGCAGTGGTATATTTGAAGTAAACTTTTCAAAGGAAATCAAAATTCAGGGTATTCTTGGTCCATGTGCATCACTTGATAAGGTTCATATAGTGTTTTAAAGAATGTTGACTGATTGTTGTTTTTTGTGCAGAAAGGTGCTTTATGTTCTGATACTAGTATTGGTCAAGGGGTACTACTACATGGAAGATGTGTGGACTTGACAAATCGACTTCCTTATGCTTAATATTTGATATTGTGAAGAAGGAAAGCTCAGATGTTATTGGTCAAGCAGCAAATAATCAATTTTATTTCCAATTTTTGACTTATTATCAGCATAGCAGTGGACAAATGAGGCTTAGAGCCACCACTCTTTCAAGAAGATGGGTCACAGGTCCAGGAAACATACAGACATGCTTATTCATTTATCCTATAAGTTACTTTAATTGTTAATTTATCAACATATATGAACTTTCTTCGTTAGTACTATGTTTGTACTATTGCATATATATTATCAGATTGTTTACTTTTTATATTGTAGGATGGTTGGATTCTCCTGCATATGGTCATGAAATAGGTTGTATTGTTCCTTCTAAAGTTCCTCTTGGTGAGCCTTTTAATGTCCGGGGGCGGATGACGTCATGCTCAGTATCACAACAAATGTAAAATAGTAAAACAAGGAACAACATCCATTACATTAATAATATAGTTAATACATGTGTGTTCATTGTATAGTTGTATGACACTAAAAGTGTAGCAAAATAAAAGACGAGTCTTGAACATGCTCCGTCTTCTCGAAACCTATACTAGCGTACCTGTCTACTGATTCCCTGAGAATACATGTTATTTTGAAAGAGAGTATCAACATTTAAGTTGGTGAGTTCATAAGTATTTAGTATTTAATGTTTGTAGTTGTTTCATGAAAATGTTTGTATTTGATCTATGAAAGTGTTAGTTTATGTTCTCCAGAAAATCCTATATTTTCTATAATAAATGAAAAGTAGTCTTCAACCCTAAGACTCAAATGTTTGTATGTTTTATTTTCTGTAACAGTGTGAATGTATGTTTTCCATAAAAGTAGGCTATCTTTACTAGAAAAATAGTATGCTTGTTCATGTATGAACCTTTCTGTGTGCAGATAATGGAAAATAATAACTTGTAGTAGTATTGTTAAAATAACACCACTGAAGTAAGTTTGTTTTGTAAACCGACTGTAAGATTACTAATCAATTTAAGTTATATATATATATATATATATATATATATATATATATATATATATATATATTACTCGTAAATAGGTCGGGATTTTCTCCTTGTGAGTTCTTATAACCATACTAACTCTGTCTGCCTGATAATGACGTTTTTCAGGCGTCAAAACTGGTAACAACATTTGCTATCCGAGGCCTGCCGACCTGACTGTAGCTAACAGTCGGGATGTGGGATTGTCAGTCCCAACATAGATTTATACACAATTGTCATCGCTCTCCCTACAAGAGACTCTGGTTATAAGCTCAGGACTTTTACCCATACTTAGAAAAGTACATAAAAATGACTCACAAATTGTTTCAACGTATTATGAGTAATAACTGAGAATCCTTTTTGTTTATAAATTTAACCATATGAAAATAGTTTTGTTTGTCCCTTAACTATATTCGTTATAAATTATAAGTCTGTTTCTGTTTTGTTATGAAAACCGTTGTGTCTTAACATGTTTGTAAATTGTTTCTTGTAATGTTTCTCTGATCTACAAAGTAGCATGAATTGATTTCCTAAACTCTACCTATTATAGTTTACTAGTATGTTTGTCTGTACTATAAATGATTTGAAGAAGAGACTCAATCACCCAACATATGCAACTGAGTTAAGTATGATCTTAAATAAATGGGGTTTAATATTCATGTATATATTTAGCATGCATAATTATGATTTAACCGACAGTCGGACTAGTGATCCAACCCTAAGCCCACAACCAAACAAAGAACACGAGTCAAGGTACTTAGCAATGGTCCTAAGTCCGTTAAATCATACTTATACATAAATATATCAATGAATACGATTTTGATATTAAACAACAATCTAAAATAGTTTGAAAGAGTTTGAAAATGATTTTTTTTAACAATATTTGTAAGTATAAGAAATTCTTTGTTTGTTTGTTTTCACATGTAAATGTTAACACAATAAAATTGTGTTATACTTGTATTCCCCCCTAAAAGCATTTAAAGAAATGTAAATTGTAGGGGTATGAACTCACCTTATGTGGGTCATTTGTTTAAAGGTTCGATTTAGGATGATTGTTTCCACAAGTTAGATCCCGAGACAAAACAAGTCCTAAAATGCATTTCACGTAGTATATATGTATACAATTAGAGAATAGAATCATAAGAATGATAAGGAATTGGACTAATTTGTAAGTTTCAATTACAAATAAGAGCGTTAGAAGCAAAATGGAAGGCTGCTAGGAGTTTACGGCTAGCCTGGGTGTTCACGGCCAAAGAAGATCTTGGTGTTCTTGAGTTTGCGGTTGGGTGTTCTTGAAGGAATGAAGGAGATTTAAGGGTTTACGGCCCAATGATCTTGATGAATGAAGAACACTTGAAGATCCTAAGCAAGATCCTAAGAAGATTCAAAGGAAGAAGGATGATAGTTGAGAGAGAAAAGGTGTTTTCGGATGGTGTTCTTGAGAGTGGGAGGGTGTGTTTTCGGTTGGAATTGAAGAAGTGAGGAGGAGTTCACGACTCAGCCCCTATATAGGGTCAAAACTGATGGTACACCTTCATTGGTTTCCACATCGAAGGGATAAGACCAAGGTTTACGGCTGCGAACCTCGTTTGCGACTCATGCGGACCTCGTGTGCGGCTGCGAACCTCATTTGCGGATCATGCGAGGGTTTGCGGCTGCGAGGGGGTTTTCGGTTCGGACAAGGTTCTCGGTTTCATGAAATTCACTCCTAATTCAAGCAACACTTCTAATTTAAAGGTTTTAAACCAATCTAGAATTTAAATCTACTTAAATAAAATAGATCAAGATAAGAAGTTTGACTTTAGCTCTATTTTTACAATAATGAAAATAACGGGTTGTCACAGTAAAAGATACTCCTTTAGACAAGTCAATCACCAACAAAGGGTTTTGGGGAGGAAGGTGAGTATATGTTATCACTTTACCTTTAAATGTTTTTCTGTTTATTTCTACAATGCCTTGTTATGTATTGTGTATGATTGGACTAATTGTGGGAAGCTATTCTTATTTGATTTTTTATTGATATTTTTTCAGCTGGGGTTAGTAATTGATCTTACAAATACGTCTCGTCATTATTCTATGAATGATTAGAAGAAAGAAGGCATCAAGTATGTTATGGTTAGTTTCTAAATACTTTCTACTCATCAATTTCTGGAATATGGATAAATTATGTTTAAAGGTTATTTGAGAAAATGAAAGAAAAACAAACGAGGGTAAATTTGTAAAAAGTTAGGACTTAAAGAATAAAGGGGAAAGTCATTAAGTCATCAAAGTCCCTCACATGTGTAATTTCAGATTATTCACAACTTTTAGACACCCATCTGTCTTTCCTCCAAGACCTCATCCTTTAGCAAATGGAACCAAAGTTGGAAATAAAATCAACTCGACATGTATACCATCTCTTGAATCATTCTTGTGTATACATGAAGAATAAAAACAAAAAGAAGTTTTTCAAGAGATTAAGCCTCATAAGACAATATTAAAGAATAAAATTAACTCAAGTATGTGATGACAACAAGTTGTTAAAACTAGGTTAATTCCCAATAATAATGATTGTTTAATAGTAATTAACAAATTATAATATGGGTTTATTTTCTAATTCTCTAACTTGATTACTTATTTTTTGTAGCTTATGGGAAACATACTTTACTACTATTGGAGAGCCCATACAATTGTGGTGACTAAAGATGGCATCTCTTTGCAACTTGGTTCAATCACCTTTACTGTCATTTTTTTTGTGGAAAATTTCAATTCCTCTGTTGTTTTCCATGTGAGTTTTGTGTCTTTTGACTCTTTTCTGGAAATTTTCAATTCTTTTATTGTAACTACATGCTTTTGGAATGAATTGTCTTTCTTATTTATTGTATTTTATTTTGTACAGGTATGGGCTGTATTGAAGCTTGGATTCTTGGAAAAAGGTATGTTACTACTAATGTGTTGATGATGAAAACAGGTATCATGTGGAAACAGAAGCATAACAATCAGAAGTAGAAACAAGAAGGTGTTCCTTAATAGCGATGTAGTATTAGGATATATAGTTAGGGAAAACCTCTTAATAACAATGTACAATCGGATCCCCTTAATACCAATGTATTAATTTTTTTTGACATGATGTTATGGATGAAATTGAATGTTTTGGTATATATTTGTTTCCATATTTTTGTATTATGCATAAATGAGTATCGTAAAGACGTGACGTAAATGTATATCGTAAATGGTTGCTGAAGTTTATGACACGCAAATATGTGTCATCTTCATTTATGACAGGGCTTTAATGATACGCAATGCGTGTCAAAAACGTGCGTCGTAAGGTTATGACACACAAATGTGTGTCGTCTACCTTTATGACAGGGGCTTCCTTGATACGCATTGCGCGTCGTAAATGCACGTCATCTACAGACGACGCGCAAAAGCGTGTCGTCTCTAGTTATGACAGGGTCTTCCTTGACACGCATTTGCGCGTCGTCTGAGCGTTTTACGACACGCATTACGCGTTGTAAAATACTGTTTTTCTAGTAGTGTCTCTCATTGATAAAGTAAAATTTTATAATCGATTAAATTCATTGCTATCACATTTACTAATCAGTCAGAACTTAAAAACCTAAAATAATTTCTTGTAGAGATTCATTGCTAATATTTTCCGTTGCCGTAAATATGTTGTATGGTAATTTATTATTTTTATTTAATGTTATTTTACAAAGCAAAACATCCTAAGTATCAATTTTATTTTATTTTTTTATTTTATATTTGAAATGAAAAACTAACCTATTCCTAAAACACAACGGACCTATATCTCTAGCAATACTTGAATCTATGACAAAAAAAATCTATTTTATTTATGGTTTGATTTGACATCATATTAATTGCTCAAAACCAAAAATCAACCACGACGAACAAATGGTTGACTAAGACTCAAAAGTGTATCCATTTTTACTTTTTAATTTTCACTTGTTATTTCAGTGTCATCTCATTTTCTCTCATTTTCCTTTCACTCTTTAAAATTTAGAAAATGCTCATCTTTCACTTTCCTTCATTTTTAAAAAAAAATTTAAAATATATTTTATATCAAAAACTAAAAAAATATAACATTTTGGTTTGAAATTCAAAAATATATGCACCCCGTTTAGCATTATACTTTCAATTATAGTGTTATAATTTCATTACCTAACCTAATAAGACGTACATTGAAAATCAAAACTTGAGAGAGAGAATTTGAAGCGTGAAGTTCAATTAGATCTATTTTTTTGGTGGATTCAAATTAATATTATCAATTCGAAGAATTTATGGTTGACTTAGGGGTTGTTTGATATCACTCTGACTGGGTCCGGTCAGAGCTTTTAGCTGACTCGGACCGCGTCAGACCGTTTGATACCAAAGCGTTTGATACCAAAGAATTTATGGTTGACTTAGGGGTTGTTTGATATCACTCTGACCGGGTCCGGTCAGAGCTTTTAGCTAACTCGGTCCGAGTCAGACCGTTTGATACCAAAGTGTTTGCCCTTACTCGGTCAGTAGATTGGCTGATTAATGGCTGATCGGGTCCTGAAAAAAAAATTCAAGTTGACTGGGTCTTTACATCAATTTCACGTATGTACCCTTCTCCTTCTCATTGAACCGGACTTCACTCCAGTGCCTCCCAAGGATCACGACTTTATTCCAGCACTGACTTCAGCCGCGCCGACCACATGATCCTCTAGCACCGTCCTCTCTACGTCGGCCACCTCCTCTATTGCAATCAAGCTTCATATCCTCTTGATCTCTCGTCTCTGCGCCTCTCCCCTCTCGATACAGGTAAATAATTTGTTTTTCCTTTTTGGAGAAAGGGGTTTTTGATTGCAATAGATAACATACAAACCTTAAGCATTTGTATTTTAGGATCATCTGTTACCTTCTAGGGTGAGTTAATAGCTGTGAATATTTCAATTTGTTGATGCTTTGAATTATACCTTAGGATCACATATAATCTTGAGGAAATGATTGATTCTTGAAGTTGAGTATCCACGAGTCAACATAGAAATGGAACGTGATTGGTATGCGACACATAGAGCTTCCACACATCTGTTTAACCTTATGTTTTAAACTAGGTCCTCATGGAGATTACACCTATGGAAAATGACCCACTGGTAATTTTTGGCACATTCTTATATGCTTTGAATATAATTGCAGGACAAAGTGTTTGTAACATCATAAAGTCCTTTTGTTAGTGTAATTAGTTTTATTATAATGAAATTATAGGGATAATTTCAAGACTTAAAGACTTGGATCATTAGATCATCTTACTTCCTTTAAGAGCTCTTTATCTCTAATATATGTATGTGTAATTGTGTATTGCAGAGCTCTTTATCTCTAATATGTGTATGTGTAATTGTGTATTGCAGGGAATATGAATTGGCGAGTCTTTACAAAAACATGGAGGCATGGCATAACAATTTAATATTATAAAGTCCCAATACAGCTTTTTCCTTTTCAACCAAAATCATTAGTATTATTTATGGACAATTTTCACCTTCATGAACGTGTAATTAGTCATAAATCTTGGTACAAGTACACATATGTTAATTGGAATAGTTATTTTATCATGATTGTCTTGGTATAATGTTGAACATATTAAAACCATGACCAAAATTTCATTCTATAGAGTGATAAACTTTTTTATAATATGTGACATCCCCATTTTTACGGTCAGAAAAGACCGATTCCCTTTATAAAAATCAGAGTACCTCTTTTTAATAAAAATGTTGCGGAATTTGTTCCCAGAAAACATGATAAGTACGTTATCAAAACATTTCCGAAGAAATGTAATTTTATTCATTTTAAAACATTTGGGATGTCATCGTCAATACAGAAACATAAACATAAACAGAACTTACATTCATTTACACTAGTGGTCTACATCTCTTTTAAATCTTTTAGTGTAAAGTAGCTTCATATCGACACCTGTGATACAAATAAGCTTGAGTGGGTCAGGTTGGGAAACCTGGTGAGTACATAGGGTTTTCAACCCACAATAATATAATTATTATGTTTAAACATCAAACAATCAACCCAATTACCCATCCCCATTATCTTCTTTACTCTTAAGGATCATCCCAAAGAATCAGTTATTCCTCGTTCATTCATTCCTAAGGATTATCCTAAGGAATCAGCACGAAGTCCATCGTCGCCACGGTTTATACAACAGGGACTAAGTTTGCATAGTCGCCAGGGTTTAGGCACTAAGTCTGCATAGTCGCCAGGGCTTTTACAACATGCACTAAGTCTGCATAGTCGCCATGGTTTAGGCACTAAGTGTGCATAGTCGCCAGGGTTTAGGCACTAAGTCTGCATAGTTGCCATGGTTTTTACAACAGACACTAAGTCCATAGTCACCAACGTTCCTCTATATAAGCTTTCATACCTCATCATTCATCTACCCATGTTTTTCCCAACATATTTTGTAGATATAAAATACATATATAGTTTACATCATTTAAAACATGTATAAAACCTTTCATCCAACATAGACAGCAAGTATTCAGACAATATGCACACATAGCACGTAATTTATATAAAATACTTCATATCTATGTGTAAGATGAAAGTAACTATGCACTCACTTGTTAAAGTGATGATTCCAAACTCGGACAACGCTTCGCTTCTTAACAATATAATTTCCTTCGATGAAACCTAGTATTATTACCACTAGATTTTAGTCTAATATTTACCGTGACTAATTATTAGTCTTAGCATTATTATTATTATATAAGCGTTTAAACAATATTTTCCAACCACTATGTACAGACAGGGGCCATACATAAAACACCGGAGGGTAGGACCATTTTGGCATATAGCACTTCTGAAATCCAACAACCCTATGCGGCCCTTTAAACCAGATTCCCCGTACCACGAGTGGTTAACAAGATATCATAACGACGCTTATATAACTCATACTAATAGCCCTAATATTTATTATAAGGTCCTAATAACATTACTATATTTAAATAAAATCTATATTAAAAATAGTGTACGCGTAGCTCACTTACAGCGGGTTTTTATCAAAAACCGGGCTTCGCTGAAGCAGCGTTTCCGAGCCGAAAATCTCTTTTTCTCGGAGCCTTTGGGAGCTCCGGGGATTCCTTCTAGTTCTAGGGGGTACCCTAGGCTTTGGGTGGGGGGTGGGAGAGGTTAGAGAGAGAGTATAGAGAGAGAGAGAGAGAGATGGGAATTGGTGTGATTTGGAGGGCTGCCCTCGCATCTATTTATAGGGAAGCTGGCCTGGTCTACGCAGCGCGTTCCTCGGAGGAACGCAGTGCGTTCCGGTGGGTACGTGTCCGAAGTCTACTGGGGCCACGTGGAGCTTCCGAGGCCAAGGCTTGCGGGTGCGCGGGGTGTTCCTTCTACGCGGGGCGTGCCTTCGCAGATTACCCTCTCGACTTCTAAAATTCGTAACTTTCGCATACGAACTCCGTTTTCGACGTTCTTTATATCCATGCGTAGGTGGAGACGTATTCTACAACTTTCGTTTAGACTCTGTCGGCTAATATTGACTTTATTTTTAAAGTTATATTTTTAACAGGCCAGGACAGGAAAAGTCCGTTAAAAATTCATAACTTCTTCATCCGACGTCCGTTTACGTCTGTCTTTTTACCGTTGAACTACTATTAACGAGACCTTCGATTCTCGTTTAGGTTGTTTCGGCCAAAAATCGCTCGATCTAATATTCGAACTCCGGGCTGCATACTGTTAAGCCGAAACTTAGAAAAATCATAACTTCCTCATTCGAAGTCAGATTTGGGCGTTCTTTTTATGCACACTCTTGGTTTAACGCATTCTACGACTTTTATTAAAATCTTTAAGGCTAAAAATCGCTCTATCGTAAATTCACTATTTACGTCACGCAGTGTCGTGTCGGTTTTGTCGCGAAATTTCGACGGGCCATAACTTCTTCGTTATAACTCGGATTTCGGCGTTCTTTATATGTACGAAACCCTTGTGACATATTCTACAACTTG